CCAAATCTTGCAAAATTATAGTACTCCCATCTATGTGGTTTCTAAAACTATAAGCTTCTTTTGTGAATAAGCTTGATTTTATGCTTCAGAAATCCATCAACCGCTAAGAGAGACTCTACAAAGAGCCCAGGTGCACACACCGGGAATCAAGTTCTTCATTCATTTTAATTACAGTTCAGCAGCACAAGTGAAAGAGGAAGGTGAAGAAGCACCTTCGTTTTAAAATGTTCCTTCGAAGTAACAAATTTCTGTCGGGGACACAAAGATGGAATCCTTCAACTTGCTCATCTTCAAAGTTCCCCAATGTGAATTATGCCTCTGTAATCATATGCAAGCCACATTTCGGCTTATGGCTCAGCCAGAATGTTAGGAGGGGGGCGGGAACAGAGAAAGCAAACAGTTAGCAGTGAAAGAGGAAGGCTGGATGAAGTTTTTCAGACTTTGTGGACCTGTGTGAACAGTTCCTTCCACTTACTGTTTAAGCTGTTACCCCCTGGCAGAGAGATTTGTTATCTTCTTAGTCATTTCAAAAGCCATCAAATGGGGATGAGGGAGGGAAGAGGTGGGGGAGGGAGGGAGTTTTTATGTGTGTGTCTGTGAGTCAGCAGAGCCGGAAGACTAACAAAACTACTTCAAACAAGAAGCTGGGAAAGAGGACAATAGCTTCCACCCCCAGACAGTGAGAAATTACATTATCCTAAGGGATCACGGCCACCCGTGTTCAGTGCAGATAAGTGAGAACCTTCTCTGCTCTGGCCAATAGGAGACCTACAACCGCAGCTGCTCCCAGAAGCTCTGGGTGGCCTCTCTTCCAGCAGCTCCAAATGGTTTCAAGGCAAAAATACTGCAGCTGGGTGGTGCTCAGAAGCCCGGGGAGGAAAGGCTGACAAAGCAGAGGGGTGGCGCCTTGCATCCCCCCCACCAGGTGCTCTAAATCCCTCTAGGGCCTTAGGACAATCACAAGGAGGTCTCAAGGCTGATTCCTAAGGCAGCTGTCAGAGCCTGCCTCACCACCATTCCACAGCAATAAACTAACACTGTGCCTCAGAGACTCCAGAAACTGGGGAGATTTTCCTGCCAGGCAGCTTGGTGCTCTAGAAGCAGTAGTGTAATTAATGCCACCTGGCAAAAGAGTGTGGGGCATTTCAAATTCAGTCTCCAAAAGAAAGAAGCCTTGCAGAGAAAGAAGCAATGCAGACACAAAGTCCCTTGGGACAGTCCCTTTAAAGACTCCAGCAACTCCGATCAAATACATACATTTGCAGTAAAATTTTAAATCCCCCAAAATTGGGTTAACTATCTTCTGAGAGAGAAAAAAAATCGTAACATTTTAGGAAAAGTATATGAAAGTTACAGTATAAGCTCACTTTGGGGTTAATCTCATTTGCATAGAAGAATTAAATTTTAAAAATCTATTTCACTTATTAATAGATTCACAGAGTACCTGCTGTTCAGTTTATAGTATTTCTTTCTTGATCTCTAGTTAATGCCTATAAAATATGTTTAACTGACAGAAAAGTTAGTCAAAACATAAAATAAGCTGATAAAGCTGAAATCTCATATGTACATGTAGTCCCTTGATCAAGTAACCCCTTTACAGATATCATTTTTGTATGTATATTATTTTAAAGCATATTTTATTATATACACAAAGTACATTTTATATATTTATTATATAAGGAAGTATATTTGTGTGTGTGTGTGTGTGTGTAACAAATGAGAAGGGATTATAGGATGCAGAAGATAGAGAAATAATGTTAAAATTGGAGTACTGGTGACCGACCATATGAGTAGCAACAATAATATTTCATGCAAAACCACAATGGCATAGGTGTTAAAATTAAAATTAAATCATTTGACATCTCGATCACTGAAATGGAGGTTGAAAGACTGAGGAGATGGCTTCCACTTGGCCCCAGATTTGCTGTGGGGCCTACATCAAGTTGTGCGATACCTCTGTTATAAAATCTGCAAAATGGAGATAACACTTCACACTACCCACCTCAGAGAGCCATCAGAAGATTAGATGCCAAGAAAGAAAATCCCCAAAGCCCTTTGAGTTTCTCATCAATATAAGACATGCGATGTAATAAAACACCAGCACCCCCTACAAAACTCCTAGACTTAGGCAACAGGGCCAATAACTCAGCCCGCATTTACATACATGTCAGATCAGGGAGGCGGTGGGCAATCTGCCCACAGCTTCCAGTGAAAAGGTGGGGAAATAATGCTGAAACTCAGATCTACTCACACCAAACAAAGCAGCCAGGGATAAGGAAAAAAACAGTACTGTTTTGACAGATAGCCAATGAATCAAAAGAGGCAATCCTGGCAAACAAAATTCCAGGTTTTTGTTTAAAGGTCTAGATCTACGAGAAGACAACCAAGTGATGTTGCATTGGTAGTTTTTCACAAGGAGTAAAATCTCATATTAAAATAAAATTGGTTCCCCAGAAGGTTAAGTGTAATGACCCGTTCACTGTGAATAAAATTTAAATGCAGAATATTTTTAATCAATTCATACCAGAAACAATACCCAAAATGAACTGTACATGGCCACCTAAAAAAACAATTATTTGGGAATTTATAGGAAATTAAGAGATTATTAAATATTCCTATGTCCTAAAATATTATGAATGATGGAAAACTTGAAATTGGCCAAATAAATGCCATTGTATTATATTATATTAATTATATTAATTATATTATATTATATTACATTATAACCTTTTTGTGGGTCATGTGTCAGATTACAATAAAAAAGATGAGAAATATCCTATTCCTGGTTCTTGTGAAACTCAGTCTAGCAAGCAGGAGACTTAGACACAAGAAAAAGAATACACTGGGTTAGAATCAAGTATAAGCAGAATGCGACAAGGAAGAGATCAAATAAGTAATTAATTCTGCATGGAAAAGGAGAGGGGTGCAGTTGAAGAAATTTCCAGAGATCTCACACAATAAACACTACTTCACCACACACAGAAGAAGGAAAAAAATAGCATTCTAGGTAAAGAAACAGCGGCTCATGTCTCAGGGCTCATCTCAGTCTGTCCCAACCAAGTGAAGCACCATGGAGACCGTCTGGAATGGTATGAGTTGCAAGGTCTTTGTGGGAGGGGGAGAGAGAGAAAGGGACAGAGCATCCCAGGATAATATTTTTGAAAGGGGACTTGATTATTTCCTATAATTCAAGATGTGAGACTGAGGCAAAATGAACAGAGCAGGGGAGGCAGTGCCTGCCCCTAGCATGAGACAGACTCTAGGGAATGGACGGCAGTGCTGCGGCTCCTTCTCTACGTGTAGGTGAGGCAGGTAGAAAGCGATTCTGCTAAAGGGCGTGACAAGCTCCACCATGACTCAGAAATGGTCAGGACTTGGGTTTCTAGGAGAAACAGCAGGTGAGTAAAAGAAAGTGCAGTAGACTGAATAAGGGCCTCCAAAGAAAACGGGATCTGATGTCTGGAACCTGTCAATGTTATCCTTTCTATGGCAAAGATTTTGCAGACATGATTGAATTAAGGTTTTGAAGTGGAGAGATTATTCCAGATTATTCAGCCGGGCCCTACATTCAGTAACAAGTATGCTTATTAGATGCAAGCAGAAGGGGATGTGATTACAGAAAGAAGAGGAAAAGGAAATGTGACCAGGGAGATAGATATTGGAGTGATGGAGCCACAAGCCAAGGAATGTCAGCAGCCACCAGAAGCTGAAAAGATAAGGAACAGATGCTCCCGTAGGCCTGTGGTGGGACACCATTCCTGTTGGCACCTAAATTTCCATTGTGTCAAGCAACCAAATTTGTGGCAATTTGTTACAGGAGTACAGGAAACATGCACACAGTGAGCAAAGAATCATCTCTCAGGTGCTCTTGGGTATCACAATCACCAGTCCTAATAAAAATAATTCAGATGGAAGGCACCTCAACTATCAAGGAGAAGTTGAAGTACAAGCTGAAGCCCTAAAGAAAGAAAGCTAATGCATTGAACTGAGTAACTGGCCAAAATTTAGATAATGGTAACCTGATAAAAGCACAGAATAAGTTAATACAAGACAGATGGAAGAAATGCAAATCGTGGCCACCAAATGATGACACGTGGGGAAAGAGAACTGGCTCTGAATACTAGTGGGAAAAATAGGAGAGATATAGCAACTCAGAGGACATCACTGGGTCACCAAATTTCTGGTATAGGATCGTTGCTTAATTTTAAGTGCCCATTGGACTTGGGAAGAGGTATGAGAGGGATGGAAAACACATACGTGCATCCTGACTCAATCAGAATGGGATCAGGAACTGGATCAGGACTAGACCACGGTATCAATGGGTCCAGGTGTGGGAAGACTATGGAAATAACACAGATGGGACCGGGAGGGCTAAAGAGCTTTGACTGCGCTCTTCAGCCCATTAGGGAAATAACTTGATGAGATCTATTTTGGGAGAGTGGGAGCAGGGTAGGATTATCCACAGTAGACTAAATAGCCCAGTAAGAAGGTAATTAACCCAGCCAAGACCAGATAGTAAGAATAGGAAAAATGGAGAAAGATTAGAAAAAAATTTAGAACACATGGAAAATTACTTGAATAAGGAACGAGTGGCTGGTAGGGCATGAGGGCAGCCAGTAAAGGATAATACCAATCCTTGAAGTATAATATTTAAAAGAAAAGGTTATGGTAGAACAGAAAGAAATGAGTTTGTTTTGGGTTATGTTGAATTTAAGGTAGTGATGGGTCCTGTCAGGGGTGACAATCACAAGCTAAAACTCAAAAGGTAAAAAATGTTTGAGATGTTTAAAAAAGCTATCTGTAATATATTCTTATCTTCTTCCTCCTGACCCATCACTATGAAAGGAATCCAAAAAAAAAAAGTCCCTAAATTTTTAATATCCTTAAAACAACATTTTGGAACCATAGTCATGCCACCCACTTATAAGAAAACCCTTGCACTGGCAACACTTAAAAGTAAAAGTATTAGAAATTTTCTAAGAGGAGGAAAAAATTCTTACCTTTAGCCATTTCCCTTTTGGGTCTGTTAATTTTGAGGAGATCTGGTGGACTGGACAGCAGGATGACCTGATGATGGAAAAGAAGGCAGAGTTTTGAAATGTGAGGATATCAAGTTAGACTCTGGCAGAGCAGTAAATACACATTTACAAAGAGAGAACGAAGCCCAGTATGTTACTGAGAAAACAGCCCAACAGACACCTTGGAAAAGAAATGCAGAAAAATTTTAAAAGGATATAGATTTATCTGGGGAAGACAATGTATGCTATAAGCCAGCTATAGATTCCGTATTCCTCTCCATCAAAACTCAGGTGTACAATGCTCTCTTGCAGAATCCAAGCGGCTCCCCCTCTAGCCTGTAAATGATCACGGCTAGTACCAGTTGAAATGTGAAGTCCCAGATTAGACAATCTGGGAGGGCTGACACACGGGAAGGCAGCGAGGTTTAATGTGAAGGTGCAACGGACTATGATACCATCTCTGTCCTCAGTCAAGGTATGTAAAGAGAAGGTTCTGTAGCCCCATAATGGAGACCATTGTCGTGCAGAGGTGACAGTAAAATAGCACCTTTATCTTAATAAGCTTTTGGACTAGCAAGTACCCGCAGTGAATAAATAAAAGACCTAGTGAAATGGATGTAAATAAACAAACATATGAGAAAATCAGGTCTTATTAGGAAGACCTATTATGAAAATACATCTATCTCAGCATCTGTTTAAGCTTTGAAGGTCACAAGAAGCCCTCACAGTACTGATATTCCAGAATGGAACACTGTATCAAGAGAAGCCCAAAACACACCCCAAGTTCATCGCACTGCCTTATGTCTGCATGTACTTATGAATGCTGCCTCATAACATCTCATCGGATCCCAAGCAAAGCTGTGCTTATGCTGACTCCCCCAAATTTTAACCATGGATTCACTCCACATGTTTTTATTTAGTGCCTAATATATAAATCATTCTGATGGAAAATACACACGTAAGTAATAATACCTGCGCTGAGGGAGTTAAAACTGATTAAGTGAAAAATAAAAAGCATGGAAATATAAAAGTGCAAAACATACAAATATTTAGAAAATCTACAAGTAAGAGTTAAGTATTCTTCAAGGCAATAAATGAGAGACAGAGAAAAGAAAAAAGGAAAGTCATGAACTGGAGTCCACGAAAAATGGATGAAGGATACATGGGTGCGCACATAGGGAGAGGAGCTTCCGAAGGACTGGGACTAAAGAGCCTAAGAAAGAGCCTGGGGTGGTGGAAGTTATGACATGAGCATAGAAAAGAAATTCTTGCTGCAGTACAGACGATGTTAACGGCCAATGAGGGGAGGGCCAGCTGAAGACGAGCTGACTGAGGAGTGTGGGCTTTACTTAGACCCAGGCTTAGTGTCAGATCAGGAGTGAAACATACACTATAGGCTTGAATCCGAAAGCCACCCAGGGAAGACGGGAATGAATACCTTTGTCTGAAGCGGCTAGTTGGAAGGCTGTTACAATAATCTAGGCAGGAACCATGAGTTCCTGACCTAGTAGGAAGAAAAAAAGATGAAAAAGAGATGGTGGGGGAAGAAAGAGTACTCATGAAGAAGGAAAAGATTTGAGTGATTGTATGGAAAAAGAGGATAAAGGATAGGGAAAGTTAAAAATGGTCTGGGCTCAGGATGTCATTACTGAGGCATTGGGAAGGAAGAAAGTGGACATCATTTGAGAAATGGTTCTGTTTTAAAGATGCAGTACTTGAGATGGGGATAGTATAACTTGGATGCAGTATCTTCTGGAGAGGAGACAGCAAAGGTGAGCTCTGCAGACTGAAGAGCCAAGGTTAGAAATCAGCACTATGAGAAAAAACTGAAATAACAATACAGGCATTGAGAAACCATTTAGAGAAAGAATCCAGGGCCCATGAGCTGAAAAATTTCTAGAATTTCTCAAACACACATCACAGTTTTTGACTTAGTGGAAAACTATCAGGAAATATTCTAAACCAAAGAACTTAGAAATGCTTCAAAGATGAGATTGGACTTATAGAGGGAACATATTTCTCAAAATATTTCAAAGACTAACATCTAACGAGCAAAAGTCATCCTAGAATATCAAACTATCAACTTTATGGTTAGTAATAGCATTAAATAAAGTCCTGTGGAATTTAGCTACAAATAAATTATGGTTAGCTTAGCTTATAACATGATTTTTAATCATTCAACATCATGACCAAAAAAAACCACCCAAAGTCACCAACAGGTATGTAGGGTCTGGTATTTTCACTGACCCCTTCCCCCACCCCTGACAACCACAATAACAGCTACTGACATACAGCTGATGGTTTCTTAGGGCCACAAACACTGTGAAATGCAGTGTCAAAGAGCCACAGAAGGTTTTTCAAACTAGAGAGATAAGTAAATGTTCACTTGGGTTGTTTTTGAGCTTCTGGTGGAGAACACAAAGCTAGAAGTTGTTTCCACAGCTGTCCAGAGTTCTGAAGCTCATTGGAGGAAAATGACACGGCATCTGCATATAAATAAAACATAATAGTCATGTCCTATCTTCCAGGTGAAGACATCCCAGAGATACTACAAAAAACATCAGCAAAAAAATTACACTGCCCTCCTGCCTCATTTCTCCCCCACCAAAAATGAGAAACTACTTTTTCAAATAAGAAAATCTAAAAGTAATGCCTAACACTTGTTATTTACTTGTTTAGTAATAACAGCTAACCAATTTAATACTTATTATGCTTCTGGTACTGTTATAAGCACTTAAATATCTACAAAATACCTATGTGGTAGGTACGATTATCACCAACCCCATTTTACTGAAGGAGAAACCGAGGCCCTGGGAGACTCAGTGAGTTGCCCAAAGTTACATCCTTAGTCTGCAATGGAGCCAGGACCTGAATCCAAGCAGAAGGATTTCAGTGCCTCACACTCTACCCTGATGCTGTCCATCCTATTGCTCAAATACATGCTCCAACGCCACATGTCCTATTAACCCCAAAAAGTAAACTATTGTTGAAAGACAGTAAACACTGTCTATGACATAAGTGAGTCTTGATTATTTCAAAAATTTCCAAGAGTACCAAATACAAACAAACCAAAAGAATACAGCAATATACACACATACACACACAAACACTTTCTAAGGATAGTTTAAATAAAAAAGATTGCAGTTGGATGTAGAGAAACTTTTGACCATTTAGGGTGACCAGAGAAAAATAGAATGACTGATACTAACATACAAGTTGCAAACATTTCCTTCTGGACATTTTTTTTTTAAAGTACTTCTAAATAGGAGGGAGGTGGGGTGCATGGGGGAGGGGTGGGCTGGGATGGGAGAAATAAACAGAAAACTGTACTTGAAAAATAACTAAATAAAAATTTTTTTTTAATGTAAAAAAAAAGTACTTCTGATTCACATCTACTTTTTAAAGTCGAGTTTGGATAAAATGCAGTATTTCTTTTAAGAAAATTATAGGATGCATTCTGTACTTCCCCCTCCTAATTTTTCTCTCATTTTTGCTGATTGTGGTCTAAATCTGGGTTTAAAAAAATTATACAAGCATCTGGCACACGATCTTTGGTAAGCATGACAACTTTCATTAAAAATTGATGTTTCAACCTGTATTTGTAAAGAATACATTTTAATCGAAGGCCTCTACAATAACTAGTTAACTGCATTTTTGATTCTGCCAACATTTTCTGGATCAAATGTTTGCATTTGGCTAATTTTACCTAAGACACCTACTTGCTATCTGATTTGGGTAGCAAGAATCCCAACAGTTTTGGGATTCAACCTCCCACGATCCTGTGATGTTCCAGAGTTGACAGTGTAGAACACAAATATTAGGCATGTCACATGGTTCTACCAGACCAAATTGTCAGAATCGAGTTTTAAGAGCAAGATGCCAGAAACAGCATTAAAAGCTTGATCAATGGCTGCCAGAGAGACTGGCAGCGGCCTTGGCCCCATTGTGGCCTTATCTAGCACACGAGGGCCTAGTGAATCCCTTCTTCATCACACAAGCAGTGTGGAGAATGCCACAGGAAATGTGGGTGTCTGAGCTTCTCCCACCCTGGCCTCAAACCTCTTACATTTCTAAAGTCCAGTGCAATGCTGATGTTGGATAAAAGAGATCAACAAGGAAAAAGACTTTTTCAAACTCAGTGTCAATAAGGAGAGCAACAGAAACCAGAAGCTCAGCATTTAAATTCTTAAAAATACTAAAAAATATATTTAAAAAACCCTCAAAATGAGTTCCAGTAATGACTTTGGGATTACATGAAATTTTAGGACTTCTCTGTTTTTTTTAAAAATTAGCTGCTTTGATCTATGCCAAAGAGAATTAAAAACTGCAGACTCACTTAATTGGTATAAAACTAAGTAACACTCTCTCATTATTGCCCTCTTCAGAAATGTTTCTTACTGCCTCACCCTGCAAGGCACAGTCTGAGCCAGTGTTTCCCAAACAGCATAAAACAGAGAACTGGCAGAGTAGCTGTTCGTGGTCTTCCTGGAGACAAAGATGATGTGCTCAGAGTCTTCCTTCTGGGGAACCCATATAAATTGGTAAATGCAAGACTGAGAAATCTGTAGAAACTTTGTGAAGAGTTCCCTACATTTATTTTACCACGGAACGCATTTCCACAAGGAACCTCATGGGATACCAGGACTACACAGAATACGTACAGCTTGGGAAACACAGCTCCAACCTTCTGAGCTCAGCATTCAAGACTTAAGAATCTGACCCCAAATACCCTTAACACCATCAATATACATTCACAGCTCTAATGAGCAATGCAGATCTGATACTCCAGTGTTTCCCCCACAGAAAGTCACCCCTCCACTCAAGTTCACGCCCTCCCCATGTCCTGAACAGACATTTGCTGCCCTGCTTTGTTTGGACCGTTCCCTGGGCTAGAACCTTCAATCTTTGATTCTATTTAATCCCTCAGCACTTAAAATAAAATTTCATCTCCTCTGAAACTCCCCCATATACTGGTGTTTTTCCTTTGCTCTGAATAGGTCACCCCAAATTAAATGGTGCTTGTTTGGGACGAACCTCCCACTTATATCT